TCTTTGATTACTTAAGTTGAATACACAATATTTCATGTATCTTAGCCATTTGTATTTTCCTTTCCATGAGTTGCTAGTGTCCTTTGCTGAGCAGACTTTGTTCATAGTGGCCCCAATAACTAAAGTTGTCCACGGATGATGCCAAACTTTGCATCTGGCCACATCTGATAGGAGCCTAGGCTCCGGCAGGATTAGAAATAGTCCATATCAGCCTTGCTGCTTCAATGAAACCAGAAAGGGGAAAGTTTCTGTGTTTTATTGGAATCTGAGAGATGAAGTTATTTTTGCTGATTGTGTTATTATGCCTTCTTCTCTTACTCCCAAAACTTCTCTTTTTTAAAATGCTGCTCCAGCAGGAAGCTTAGATTCAGTGGACACCTATTCTTTCTTTCAGTTTGTGTTCGCTGACCGCCTGCCATGTGCAACGGCCAGTGGCCACAAGGAAGGCTGTGGCGTCTAGAGAATGGCTGGTTTGGGAGCCAGGCAGGTGCTGGGCAGGGGCTTCCCAGTGGTAACGGGAAGGAACCCGCCTGCCAGTGCAGGAGACACAGGATGTGGCTTTGATCCTCGGGTGGGGAAGGTCCCCTGGAGGAGGGCATGGCAATCCACTCCAGTATTCTTGCCTGGAGAATCCCATGGACAGAGGAGCCTGGCAGGCTACAGTCCATGGGGTCACATAGAGTCACAACTAAAATCAACTTAATGCGTGCACGCGCGCGCGCACACACACACACACACACACACACAGGTGTTGGGCAAGTCCTTTAACCTCTCTGAGGCTCTCTTTTGCCTTCTTTCAAGCACAGGTGATAACCCTACCTTTACACACACACACACACACACACACACAGGTGTTGGGCAAGTCCTTTAACCTCTCTGAGGCTCTCTTTTGCCTTCTTTCAAGCACAGGTGATAACCCTACCTTTGGGGAATAAATAGGTTACAAATGCAAAACTCCTGGAATGGTGTCTGCCACATCACAAGGCCTCATTTAGCTCAACAGAACATTCTTGAGCCATTTCTTTTTATTTGCCACTGTGCTAGGTGCTGAGGATCCAGAGGGGTCAGCTCTCTCTGCCCTCTCTGCTCTGTGCATCCCTTCCCACTGCAACTCCTCCCCCCATTAAGTCCAGTGGCCCCGGATGCCACGGATGGGTTGACAGCTCTCTTTAGAGCCCTGGACCTTAGCTGCAGTTCTGGAGCCACAGGGAAAGTACCAAACAACATTGTGTTACACAGAGTCATAGCCATGATTTTTATCTTCTCTTTTCTTAACATATCATCAGCATTTTCCGTTTAGAGCAGAGTTGTTAAGGGTGCCAGCTAGAGTCAGCCAGCCTTAGTTTGATTTCTGGCTCTATCACTAAGTAACCTTGGGCAAGCTGTTTAACATTGCTATGGTCTAGTTTTCTTATTTGTAAAGTGGGGATATTAATAGATGGTTAGATAGTATCACTGACTCAATGGACATGAATCTGAGCAAACTTCAGGAGATAGTGAAGGACAGGGCAGCCTGGCGTGCTGCACTCCATGGCATCGCCAAGAGTCGGAGATGACTTAGTGACTGAACAACAACCAAACAACAATAGTATTAATACCTACTTCCTGGGGTCTTTCTTAGGATTAAACAAAAGAAGTCATATGTAGCTTTTAGGATAACATGTAGCGCACAGTAAAACCTCAATGGCCGGTTATTAATCTTTTTGTAATGTCTTCATAACCACCATTACAATGACTTTTTATGATTAAAAGAGATACAACACCTGTCTCTGACATTGGATATTTGGAGCGTTCCTAATTTTAAAACACAAAAGTAAAATATTATTCCTAAGAAACAAACAAAAAGTCATCTTGCTGTTTAGAGATAAAGGCAGAATAAGAAATTTAAGTATTAAATGGGGAGTGAATCCACATTAAGACACTTTAATCACCTTTCCAGAAAATGCAACATTTACTATATATGTCAACAGGGTAATTAACTCATTTTAGAACCTGCAGTGGGGGTGATCCCTGTCTGAGGCAGGGAGCTGGCCTGGATTACTTTGGCAAAGCCTTCTAGTCTTTTCTCTGTGATTCTCCAGGCAAAGAAGCTGTATCAGCTTTTCTCTTGTAGTGCCAGAGAATCTCTGATATAGCACAGCTCAAGGCCAACCCAGAATCTTTCAGCTATCACTTGGGATATCTGGTAGGGTGGCTGCCAAGCCATGTCACCCGATGGAGAAGTTGTTTCTGGTTGTGGTCCTTCAGCCAGCCAACAAGGCTCAGCGTCAGCACTGGCATGAGTGAGGTTGAGCACCTTCTGCATGCCAGCCTCTGTAAAAACGTCCCCTTCGGGCCTCAGCTTAACTGAGGCAGAATTCACTGGTCCCATTTTATAGATGAGGAAACTGAGGCTCAGAGAGGTCAAAGGTTTTTCCTCCAATGTCACACAGCTGGCAGAGTCATGACCTGGCTCTGTCTGACTTTAAAGATACAAACTCTTCTCAGGGCACCACAGGGTCTCGTTGCGATGTAATTCAAACTAACCAGCATGGATTTGTGCTCACATGTGTCCCCCCTGCTGAGCACTGAGAGCAGAGAGAGCAGCCTAATGGAGGAGAGACAGAAACCCCAAGTTCTAGTATTCCCACTGATGCATGCCTGTGAGGAGTAACGAAGCCACGGGGGCAATCCAATATATCCTGTTGCATACATTTCTGAAAGCCATCCTTAATCCTTTCAGGAAGAGGCAGGGGATAGAGAGACTGATAGATCAGGGCTATAATCAATGAACAAACAAAGGGCAGTGGGAAAATAGGGAGAGAGAGAGATTAATTCCCACTCAGAGATCCAGAAATTTCTCTTAGAGGATATGGTATTTGGGCTGGGGTTGGAAGGGCTAGAAAGATTCAGCAAAAGACTATGGGAGGGGCTTGACCTATCCCCTCCCTTCCCCAAGAGAAGTAAAAACAGAATCTTGATTTGCACTTCCTAAATATTGGTTTGAAACCAGAACTCACGCACACTCCTCCCATTTTGCCCCCTCCCCTTACATACATAGAGGGATCTATTAAGATACACTCATGTTGCTGTTGTTTAATTGCTAAGTCCAGTTCAACCCTTTGTCATCCCATGGATGGTAGCCCACCAGGCTCCCCTGTCCATGGAATTCTCCAGGCAAGAATACTGGAGTTGGTTGCCATTTCCTCCTCCAGGGGATATTCCCAACCCAGTGATGGAACCAGGTCTCCTGCATTGCAGGCAGATTCTTTACCATCTGAATCACACATAGGTACAAATGTAAAAACACACAGAAAATACACATAAAACACACACCAGCCCACGTGAAGATATTCAAAAACATACAATATGCAAAAATAGCTACCAGCTCCCATACTCATAAGATCATACAAATATACACGCATATACACAGACTCACAAACATGTTTATGTTTCATTACACAAGCACATACACGCCCTCTCCCCACCCACTCCTCATTCAGGTAAACAAGTGCATTTTTAATTAACAGATACACAGGTTCGCACGCAAATATGATCGCCCAGTTCTGGTTGGAGGCCAGTGACTAATGGGAAGCCATGCACAAAGGAAGCATCATACAGGGGAGGCCAGGAATGGGTTGGCGGTGGGGCTGGGATTAAGCCCTGTCAGATGACAAACGCGCCCTGCCCGGCTGCAGCGCCTGAGCGAGCTCTGAATCCTGTGTGATGGTGCGAGGCTGCGCATCGGAATTCCAGCTTTACACAGGGTTTAGTGTCACCCAGGGTCAAACTCTGTGGTCAGACCCACCCCTAGCCCCGCAATAGGCAGGCGGCTCTGAGGACACGCAGGTCTGCGGCGTGGGGCTTGTCCTAACACAGTACGCAGAGTGTAGTCAGCATTAATGAGGGTTTACTGTGGGCCAGGCACTGCGTTAAGCCCTTTCAGGGCATTACTTAATTCTCACATCAGCTCTGTGAGAGCGGGGTGGGCGGTGGGGATGTTAGCTGCCATCAACCCCATTTTAGAGGTGAGAAAACTGCACTCAGGCCACAAAACCACTCAGCAGGAAGCTTGGAGCTGAGGTTCAACCCTTTCCGACCTCACTCTCCCGGGGGTGTAAGATGAAGTGTGCATGTGAGCCTGTCACCCCCACGCAGGAAACTTGCACCTTCCACTCCTGACGGGTCTCTAGAACCCCCGTCCCGCCAGGTACAGCGCCTGGCCCAAAGCAGGTGCCTGGTGAGGGCGTGGGTCTTGGTTCGGTAAGGTCCTCAACAAGGGCCTCAGTTTCCTCATCTCTGAAATGGGAATGCAGCGAAGACCTAGCAGGGCCGAGGCCGGGCGCTCTCTGGCAGCAGAGGAGGTGCTGTGATCTACATCCTCGCAGCTGCCACCCTCACCCATCGCGGGGGTTCCAGCTCCGTCCCCACCCGAGCCCGGGCGAGGCGCTGGCGCCCCATTGTTTAAGAGTGGGGAAGCTCCCAAGAGCCAAGTCCCCGTCCCGGGGTCGCGCTCGCCGCCCAGTGGAGCAGACGACTTGGCCCGGAGTCTGCCGCGCCGGGCGCGTCCTTTGTCTGCTCCCCGGCGCCCGGGGCCCGGGGCCCGCGCCCCGCTTCTAGGGCAGACAAAGCCGGGGCTGCCGCTAGTCTGACCGGCTGGAGCGGCGCTCGCTCCACCCACCTCTCGCGTTAGCACCGCCCCCTCTCCTCAGCGCCCTCTGATTGGCTCGTAGGGCCACAAAGAGGCCGGGAAGCGGGCAGATCACGTGAGACGGCGTGGCCTCCCATAGGCCCGGCCAGGCTGCTAATCAGGGAGGGCGGGCCGTCCGCTCTCGGCCCGGTCGCTCCCTCCGCGCCGGGGCCCGCCCGCGGGGCCGGCCGCCTGTCAGAGGGAGGTGGCGATGGTGCGCCCGGTGGCGGCGGCGGCTGCGGCGGCTTCCCTGGTCCGAGTGCAGCGAGGAGAAGATGACTGACCGACCGGCTGACTGACTGAATGAATGAATGGCGAAGCCGAGCGCGCCATGAGGAGCCTGCCGAGCCTGGGCGGCCTCGCCCTGTTGTGCGCCGCCGCCGCCGCCGCCGCCGCCTCAGCCACCTCGGCGGGGAATGTCACCGGCGGCGGCGGGGCCGCGGGGCAGGTGAACGCGTCGCCGGGCCCGTGGCTGGGGGGCGAGCCCAGCCACCCTTTCTCTAAGGCCACGGCTCCCACAGCCCAGGCCCCGAGGACCGGACCCCCGCGCGCCACCCTCCACCGACCCCAGGCTGCGTCTTCCTCAGCCCAGCCCCCGGAGACCACCCCTCCTCCGACCACCGCCGGGCCCGCTCCGACCACCGCCGCCGGGCCCGCTCCGACCACCTCTCAGGCATCGCTCGTTCCCTCGCGGGTCACACCTCCTGCGGTGGAACGTACTCCGACTACCCCTCGGGTGACAGCCAGACCCGCGCCGACCACCCTCTCGACGACCACTGGCCCAGCGCCGACCACCCCTGTAGCGACCACGGTGCGGGCGCCCACCGCTCCCCCGATCCCGACCTCGGCTCTCCCCGGCGGCGGCGGCGGCAGCAGCAGCAGCAGCGTCCCGCCCACCCCACCTGCCACCGAAGCCCCCTCTCCGCCTCCCCCAGGTGAGTCCCAGCGCCTCCTCGGCCGCCGGACCCTCCCCGCGGCTGCCCGTCCTTCTAGCGTTGGGCTTCTTGGCTGGAATGGATCATTTCTTGCCCCCAGAGGTTCCCCAGATTTCGACTTCCAAGGGGAGGTCCAAGCCCCACCCCCCTCCCCAGCCCCCAGTCTGGAAAGTCTTTTGTCCCCCACTTGGGCTGTGCTTCCTTGGGAGGGGAGCGACTGCTGCGTGGAAGGCATCGCACCTCCTTCCAAACAGCGCTCTCTGGCCTTTGTCAGCTGCGCTGGATGGGCGCAAACTTTTGGGTTCGGTCCGCTCACCCTGCCTCTCCGCCTGGGTGATCTGGGGAAGTCTGAGAACCAGCACGGGACCTCTCGCGACCAATAGGTCAGAAACCGAAGGGATTCCTCCTAAGGCTCCACGTTCCTTGTCCATGTAAATATCAGCTGTGCTTGTGACAGGTGGAAAAGATATTGAGAGGATTTTGTTTACAAACAGTAGTACAGACCACTTGAGGCCAAAAGAAAAAAGAAATTGTAATCCGTGTTTTCCCTGCAGAAGAATGGATTCAGTAGTCATTTGGGACAGGTGTGTATCTAGGCTGAGCACATTTATAAATTAGGTTAAATCCTTTCCTTGCACCATTTTTTTTTTCTTTTCCTTCCTCAATTACAAGGTCAATATGTTTGGGCAAATACACAATTTAAGCAGGGAGGCCCATTTTTTCCTCCTTAAGGGGAATGTTCAGTTTTGCTGATGTTGATAAAAGCCAATTTCTGTCTGAGTCCTGGTAAAAAATAAAGCTCTTCTTCCTGCTGATTGAAAGTCTTCAAGCAGTTAGAGACAACTTCTGTTCTTTTTCTCTTAAGATCTAAAGTGGGCCTGGAACTAAACAAATAAAACCTGCCTTGTCAAGGTGTTAGACAAGAGTTTCTGAATTCCTTTGCTTTGAGTTGGGGTTTGATTTGTCTAAACCATTTTGCCTTTAGCTGGATTTATATTAATGGATCTCTGACCTAATTCTTAGGCTCAGTGATTTACTGTGGGGTCAGGTATGGACTTTGGACTATAATTGAATTTGTAGAGAGTTTTCCCACATGATTATGAGTCATGATACAGTCCAATCTTGGATTGGAGCTTGGCATTGACATAAGTAGGAATGCAGATTATTCACCCGTAAGAAGCCAAGTTGGTATTTCTTCCAGCTTCAAGGAGTGTGCTAACTAGCTGGATTTTGACTGTAACCTTTTTTGGCCTCCCTATAGAGAGACTGACATGATACTGAGAGGCAGGAATCATAGTGGTTGAGAGTATGGACTCAAGTCCATTCTTAGTGTGAACCCTAGCTCTGCTGCCTTTTATTAACTGTGTAATTTGGGAAGGTCAGTTAACCTCTCTTCATCTGAGAAATGAAGATAATAATAGTATTTAGCTCATAGGATTGCTGTGAATTCTTTGAAATTTTCTGTGAAATCCTGGGAAAATTAACTAAGTGCATTTATAGTGCTTAGAACAGTAGTTCCGGGTGCAGAGTAAATTAGCTCTGTATGTATGTTAACTATCATTATGATAATTTTTTTAAATGGGGTAGCAAGCATTTGAGGAAACTAATAGGGACTTGTGATGATTTTTATTTGTTTCAGTAAAATGTAATGGTAGTATGTGTGCTCAGTCATGTCCGATTCCTTGCGACCTTATGGGTATAGCTTGTCAGAATCCTCTGTCCATGGGATTTTTCAGGCAAGAATACTGGAGTGAATTGCCACTTCCTCCTCTAGGTAAAATATAATAGAAAAGGATAAATTAGATTTTCCAAAGTTTGAAGCACACAGTAGTGTTTATGTAGGAAGATTCCTTCTTTTGGAAGGTTAGTATGTCATAAGTCTGTGTAATTGATGTTATTTTACCTTAATGTTTGCATTGTTATTTTTAAATCACAAAGGTAACCTTTTTTCCTTTTATGTTGCTTTTTCTTTGTGATAAAATATACATAACATAAAATTTACCATTTTAACCATTTTTAAGTGTACAGTTTAGTGGCATTAAGCACATTCAAATTGTTTAACCATCTCTGCCACCCATCTTCAGGACTCTCTTTTTTTACCTTCCCCAGCTGAAACTCTGTATCCATTAAACAGTAACTCCTCAATGGCCAGCCATCCACCTTATTCCTAGCAACCACCATTCTACTTCCTGTCTCTGTGAATTTGCCTATTCCAGATTCCTCATATGGGGAACTCATAGCATTTGTCTACAAAGATAACCTTTACCTGCAAAAATTACAAAGCACCAAAAGTCCACAAGTAAAGAGTGGAAGTTCTCCCCACCCACTTTACTTCTTCCCAGTTCCTGTCAGTCCTTAAATGTTACTGCTATTAACAGTTTGATCTTTTCTCAGAAGCAAGTTGTGACATGCAGGATTGCCTTCCCTCACCAGGGTTCGAACCTGTGGCCCCTGCATTGGGAGCGCAGAGTCTTAGCCACTGGACCACTAGGAAAGTCCGTAAACACAGGATTATTAAAAAATAGTTTTCAAAAGCTCAAGATGAAATAATATATAAATTATATACATTAAATATAATAATTACATATATATACTGCAAGCCATAGAGTTTTGCAACTTGCCATATCCACTTAACTGTGTATCATGGCCTTTTTTTTCATGTCAGTACCTAAAGTGTACCTTATTCTTTTCAGCAGTTGTATTTTTCATCGTAAGTATATACCGTATCTATTTAACTAATCTCTTGTTTATGGATACTTGTATTGCTTCTTGGCTTCACTTTAAAAAGCTCAGAGAAGAATGTGTTCTTGTTTAGTCCATCATATTATATTATTAGTCCATCGTATTATATTCTCTAATACCTTGTCTGGAGTTTTGTAGACTCCAAATCGATTGTAAGTAAAGCAAAGCTGGATTGAGTAATATTTGCCATCGGAACTGTTCAAGGCCTTTAGTAAGTTCCATGGACTACCATATACCTATGTCTGTGATGGTCTTTGGGCAACAGAAATTTTAAGGTGCTCAATTTTGGTAGCTCTGCTGTGTTTTAAATTTTCTGTAGCTCGTAGTTTTCTGTGAATTCACTATGGACTGCCTCTGTCTAGTTCTCAGCAGCTGAACTGCCTTTGTGGGCTTACTGCTTTACTGGGCAGTTTTAGCTTTACAGTAATGTAATTGAGTCTGGTCTTTCTATCTGAACATGGGTTCTAGTCTACTTCAAACAGTAAATGCATCTCCTCGACAGAGGAAAGAGATTTGAAAGACCTGGTTCTAACTGAATTTGAAAGACCTAGTTAGGTTGGCAAAATTGGATTCTCTGGCTTTTGGGAAAATGAGTACAGGGTGTTTTATTTTAATGTTTGTATAAAACTGAACAGCACTGATAATACATTATGTGTCTAGATGGGTCTTCTGGCCTCTCTTTGAATTAAGAATTTCTTCCATGATGATCTAGTTGAGAGCTCTTGTCTGCCACTCAGTAAGGGCCCTCTTTTGTTTACAGGGACACTGATCTGCAAACTGAAACTAATTGCCCAGCAAGCAAGCATTTTCCTCCCACAGTCCTGGCAAAACATTTGACTGATTGGTTGGCTGGGTAGGACATTTTACGAAGGGTGAAGAGAGAGGCTATGATACTAAACTATAATAGTTATCGGTAGTAAGAGACTGAAGTGATGATAAATGTTTGATTTTTAAAATTATGGGCCTTCAGGGCTAGATAGGACTTTAGAAGCCACTACCTCCTAACGTGGCTCTACATTGCAAGAAATGCTTCCATGGACTTAGCCGAAATATTTCTCTCTGTGGTTAACACCAGCCAGTTCTAACTCTGCCCTTTGGGGCCACGCAGAACAAGTCAGCTGTCTCTATGCCCTGAGAGTTCAGGGATCTGTGGGCAATCATCGTGTTCCCTCGGAGTCTGGACTAAATAGCTTCAGCTCCCTCAACTGTTCTTTATGTGAAATGGTTTCAGATTCCCTTACACTCTGCTGGTTGCCCCTCTTAGGGAGCTTTTCAGTTTTCCTGTGTCTCCCGGAGTGTGGAGCACAGAACTGAACGTGTCCCCCCAGATGCGCTCCGACCAGCTCGTGGTAGAGAGGGCAGTTGCCTTGTGCTTTCTGGATGCTGCACTACTGTGGATGCACTTAGCTCCTCATCACAGTAGCTTTTCTGGCAGCCGCTTTACCTTGTTGACTCATTGAGTCCATTAAGATACTTAAGTCTTTTTTTTTTTTAAAACACGTTCTAGACAAGTCTGTCTTCATTCTGTACTTAGAAACTCTTTGTTATCCTCTAAAGTATAAACTGAGATAGTTGCCAAGCATGTAAGATTTACTGTGTTAGATTCAAGCCATCATTTTGGGTTTGCAGTCTGTCAGCGTACCCCACCTAGTTTCTTCACGTTCACCTGCAGGGTGTTCCTACTGAGAGTCCAAGGACACGTTAGGGCAGGTTGTTCTTACCTCACAGGAGAGAGCACATTTAGGAATGATAAAACAGTTTGGAAGGGAAGAGATTGTGGTTTAGATTAGTTCTCGAGGGTCTCTTCCAGCTCTGCAGTTCTGTGACGATTTGGTACCCATGATTCAGGGCACATGACTGCCCCCCAAGGAGCCTTAATCATTTATTTGTGATCTAAGTTAAGAGACGAGGCTTTTTTTTTTTTTCCCCAAGCAAACCCTAGAGTTTGAAAGCTCTGACTACTGTGGCGTGTAAATAAAATATTATGAATGGATTTTATTTGAAAGGAACATTCTGGAAATCAGGGCCCTCCTGTCTGTACTGGGAAATGTTTTCTTCATCCTAAAATTCTGTACAGCTAAGTTCGGGGTGTGAATTTGCTTATGGTTATTCAGGAAGATACTGTTCATTTTAAGGACACAGAAATTGTTCAGACTTCAAAGATAATGTATGTTCATAACCTTTTATTGAAAACCTGTGGGGCTGGGTGTGTTTCAGAATTTAGAATTTTTCCGATTTTAGGAAGTTAATAAGTATAC